ATGTTTATTTATTTTTGAGACAGAAAGACAGAGCATGAATGGGGGAGGGTCAGAGAGAGAGGGAGACACAGAATCCGAAGCAGGCTCCAGGCTCTGAGCTGTCAGCACAGAGCCTGATCTGGGGCTCGAACCCACGGACCGTGAGATCATGACCTGAGCCGAAGTCGGACACTTAACTGACTGAGCCACCCAGGTGCCCCCCAAGAAATGCTGTAACTTTGATGGCCGTTCCAAATGGACCTGTTTTCTGCTTGGGAAATCCCTGTTATGGGGAAAATATCAATGAAGGAAGTATCGGTGAATTTATGGGGCATTAAGTACATGTTTGATAATATTCTAAACCCTTCACATTTATTGTTTCATGTAATCTTCCAACCGATTGGATGGAGACACAGAGCTGTCTGTGTTAGTTTTCTCAGGCTGCTGTAACAAAATACTGTGTTACCTTCTGGGTAGCTTATAAACAACGGAAATTTATGCCCACAGTTCTAGAGGCTGGGAAGTCCCACGTTCAAGGTGGTTGCCTTCTGGTGAGGGCTCTCTCCTTGGTTCATAGCGGGGAACTTGTCACTGTGTTTTCACATACCGGAAAAGGCTAGGGATCCCTCAGGAGCCTCTCTTGTAAGTCACTAATCCCATTCATGAGAGTTCCTCCTTCATGATCCAATAAGTATTTCCTAAAGGCCCACCTCCTAATACTATCTTTAAAGTTAGGATTTCAACATAGGAATTTTGGGAGGACATTCAGAACACAGCAGTGTCCAAGGTCATATAATTCCTGAAGAGCAGATCTGGAAATTTAATATAGGAAATTGATTCCAGAACTTGTGTCTTAAGTATTGAATCCAGCCTCCCTGAAGGTGCAGCTCCGCCTCTCCACAAAGTCATCTTGATTAGACTGGTCAGCGTAAGCTCTTCTTTCTTTCTAAATTCCTGTTTTATCTTATGGTATAGATTATACACCTTATTACTTGGTTTTATGCTTATTTATATTCTTTTTAAAAAAAAATCTTAGGTGCACAAACATTTTCTTGTTGGCCAAGACATATCCTCAAAGACAGAGAATACATCTTTGTACCTCTTAGAGCACCTTCCTTCATTCTGGATGAGCACATTTGTGAGAAATAAGTACTGTTAGATTGGGCCAGAAGTTAACTGGAGATTTACCGTTTGTTTCTTCCCAAATGTATGCCTTAATCTGCCCAAGAAGACTGCAGATACAGAGATTGCTGTGTTTATTTCTTCAGTAACTTTCTGTTGAGTACAGTTATTAAGTTGAATCAGAGTTGGAAAAAAAATCACAGCTTCCTAAATAGTGCTAAGAGATTCATATTTTCTTTGAATAATGAATTTCCTTGAAATTCAGACTAAATGAAAGCTATGAGCCTTCTCCCTGAAAAACCATTCTTAAACATCCATCCATACACACATCACACTTTTGTATAGAACTTCAGGGGCGCCTGGGTGGCGCAGTCGGTTAAGCGTCCGACTTCAGCCAGGTCACGATCTCGCGGTCCGTGAGTTCGAGCCCTGCGTCG